TTTTTTTTTTTGAGACAAGAGTTTCATTCTTGTCACCCAGGCTGGAGTGCAATAGCGCAATCTCAGCTCACTGCAACCTCGATCTCCTAGGTTCAAGTGATTCTCCTACTTCAGCCTCCCAAGTAGCTTGAATTACAGTAATGCACCACCATGCCCGGCTAATTTTGCATTTTTAGTAGAGATGGGGTTTCACCATGTTGGCCAGGCTGGTCTTGAACTCCTGACCTGAAGTGATCTGCCCACCTCTGCTTCCCAAAGTGCTGGAATTACAGGCATGAGCCACTGTGCCCGGGCTTGACCTAGAAAAATCTAATAGAAAGGTAAAAATACCTGTCTTTTTTTTTCTCTTTTCTCTTTTTCTTTTTTGGAGCACTCAGAATGTACTAGGCACTCTGAAAAGTACTTTATATACATTCTACCTCATCTATCCTTAAAACATCACTGTGAGGGGCATAGTATTAGTTCTATCTTACAGACAAGGGAGCTGAAGGTTAAACAGGTTAATTTATCAAGGTAACAGTAAGTAATCCTGTATGATGGAGAGGTACATGTTCAGGTCTAGAACTCATCCCAGCCAAATTAATCCACAGAGACAGGAACTCTACAGGCTGTCCTTGGCATGAGCTGGTGATTATGCGCTCAATTTGCCTTCTCTGTGCATGGCTGTCCACTGTCCCTCTCGCCTCATCTGCTGCCTCTGAATGACTAGGTTATCTCTCCGCTGACATCTTCTCTTTGATGCAGAAATCCCATTTGGCCTTTGGGAAGCCTGGTATTCTTTTTCTGGGACGGGTTCGGGAGGAGGCCTAGTACTCTGTTACTTTTCAAAGAGCATGCTTCTGAGATGTCCCCTCCCTCAATGCAGAGGGATCAACAAGTCAAAAGCTGTTTAACTCTTTTAACGCCTAAAGGAAATGTTGAGACTTACAGTAGGGCATGCAACGTAAGAAAAACATTTTCATGCAATATTTTTTAAAAATCAAAATTAATGCCAAAAAAATCCACAAAACTCAAAGACAAGATCCGAGAGTATACTTGCAGGACTCACCTCACTCCCCTTACTCCAATCTCAGCCCTGTCGGATGCTATCCATATTTCAACACTTGACATTTTTTTCAAATGTCATTTTTATTTTGCATTATTTTTGCCCTTTTT